AACGTAAAAGATTTTCACTCTTATGCCAATGAGGTAATACGCGAGTCGAACCTGATTAAAAACCTCGATTTATCTTGAATAGCACTGGGAACGGAATAGAAACGCCGAAAAACTAACCGAAGCTAGGCAAATTGAATAAGCCTCGACGGGACTTGCATGAAAATACAGTCTTACTCAGACGTCCACCGACAAAATGGATGAAAGCACAGCAACACCTCAGTCAGGTCAAGGGATGTGGCAATGAAGATAGCTATCCGTTAGACTCCATCAACTATCCTCACAACAACCCACCCACACGTAAATGTAAGCAAAGTGTGAAATAATGTTGTGATGTAGCTGACAGTATATAGTCTTCAGTATGAGTTGTGAGATGTTAGTACAACCTTGCTTGGCAACGCCCTCCAAACTGGATCCAGCTAATGAGCAACTCCGGAATCAGACTCTCAGGCTTAGATTGGTCGGGGGGTGATCACATAAAAGTGGTCAAAAGTAACACAATTTTCTGAATGAGGTTTCGTCAACTAGCCAGCCAAGGCTACAGCTGACTCGAGGAAACACATGAATCTGTGAGTCCTGCCAAATGCGTGGTTGAATGGAGATCTAGAATAACATGTTCAGAAGACCAAAGCCCATTGTAATTGAGCCCGTGTTGTTGTCAAGGGAAAACTGGTGAAAACAAAAATAGATGCCTCCCTAAAACTGAAGGTTAAATCATGTGTGCGTAAAAGCGACATCATCTAAATGCTTGTGAATAACAGTGTACAATTAGACTCACTTTGACTACGTGATAGATCAGGCCGAAACCAGATGGTGGCGGATGCAAATATTCTGATCAGCGTGACCAATACTTGCTCCGGAACCCGTTCTATAAGAAATAAATGAAAATACATCAAGTTTAGTTCAATAAGGTCAGCCACTGAACCCAAAATTATTTTCACTCCCAGACCAGGTGACAGTTTCTGCCTTGTCCACATCTCGGTTGCATTGAGGGGACTGTCAATGGGGCCCGTCTCGAAGTTTTATGGGTAATTTGCGAACCGTAAGGACTTCAAAATTGTGTCGTAATGCATAATACACTCAAGGACCAATTCTCAAGTCGCTAATAAAAAATTGTTCTAAGCTGGTTTTAGACCATATTCGGGTAAATCAAGCCAAATTCAGCTAATTAAATGTTAAGGATGATAATTCCTAACGTTCGCAAAGCCTGCGTCAATGAAAGCCCGCGTTAATGTATGTGAAGGTATATTACTATAAGCTTTGCCAGTTGTATCGAAGAAGCCTCGAAATGATTACGATTTAGGTGTTTATTCTATTTGAGATAGTCTGAAATAGTGATACAAATGACTAGTTAAACAATGGACAAGTTTGTATGATTGTGAAGATAGTCTACTTGAGAACTATGGTTATAACACAAGAGAAACTTGCTTCGCATAAGAGCTGTACCAAAAAGTGCCGAAGGCACATGTTTTTCTACAATTAACCTACATACGATTGGAAGAAGAATGTCTTTTCCAAAGACCTAAACTGTTTGGTCAAGAGACGCAGTCCTTACCGAGGGGCCCATATGCACAGGGTGGCAGCCTGAGCTCAACAGATCCGGTGGCTCCCAGAGGCGCTGAAGACGCGGGCATTAGGCTTTCATCAAAGCTGGCCACAGCCGGCTGTCCCGACAGCAAGTAGTGCTGCCCGAAGGGACGATCGCTTGGATGACCAGGGGTATAGAATTGGTCACGAAATGAGGCCTGTGGGCGATGAAAATGCATAAAAATGGATAGAAAAAACAGGAGTATCTTCGGACCGGTAGTGAGGGCTAGGCATTGAAATGCCTTAAAATGCTCTTTTCCCATCCGTACAAGTGTACAACTGCAGAGAGGCCTGTTCAGGCAAAGATACACTCGGGCAAAAATAGACTCGCATTTATCAAGGGGATGGGAGAAATTAAGAATAGGGATACATCTTTTTTTCAATTTCACTCGAAACACAGAGACTAAGAGCCTGTCTGATTAAGTCCTGGAGCTAGGTTTCAGAGTAGCTAGACCGGAAACGCATAACACACATACATGCACATATAGGATAAATATGCAGGGTTTTATGACCAATGAATGAGCTCGAGAGTCCCTATACCGTCCTATCAATCTCTTCAGCAGGTTGGAATTTCGACAAAATCTGCATTTAAAAGTTATTATCATGTCCCCTCCCAGCATTGGGTACAATTTCAGATATTTCACTTGTATCGGAGTCAGCAGTGTTAGTGATAGGCGCTAGTCTTAGCACCGACCTACAACTCGTCAGAATGGCAGGTGAAGTCAATTTTTATGAGTGTCTGTTTGTTAGACAGTTGTGGCCTTGTACATCTCCATTCTTCCAGTCGTCTGTTTTCATCTGTTTTCATCTGTTTTTTCCATTTCATATAGCAAAACCTCATCCATACTTCACCGTTTCCCTTTGCCTGTTCCGATCAACTCCAAATATGCACCCCTTCGAGTAGGTTTACCAGAACTTAGTTATCGTCATCTCCTCCCAGCAGATATCTTGGTCCTGACTGGTACCTCCCATCGGCAGTCCTCTTCAACCGAACTCTATCATGACCTCGGTACTTACTGCCTTATCCAATTGGGCAATTGCCTTCACTTGGCCTCATCCAAGTTTGAGTAGGGAGGATTCTTGGACATCTGGAGGAGACCAGAAAAAGAAGAAAAGAGATGTACCGGACCAAAATGGGGGTGGAGAAAACGGATGAATCCCACCGCTGTTCACCAAAAATACAGGTCAAAGGGATTTACTTCGCGTGTCACTCTGACAAGTTTTAAGTCGGTGCCGACCACGATAGCGGCAAAACATTTGAAATTATTCCATTTGAACGATAGGAAAAAAGAAAAGAAGATGGGGATAGAATACAGGGTCTGGTACTCGAGGTCCCTGTGAAAACAAGATTTAGTTACGAATATAAAGTCAAACCAACTCTTTACTGGGAAAGGAGACTGAGATCAGCCAAGGGCCGTGTTATCACAATATTCGTATCTATAAGGATCTTTAAAAATAATTATAATTCTATTATATGTCAATGTACAGCTCGAAAAAGAAGGAAATCTCGACTTTTTCGACCCCAAACCGAAGTGTAATCATGTATGGTAACTATAAGGTAAAAAGAGCGCATAAGCTACAGCTTGGCCGAGCTTTTGAGTTCCTACGTTGTCCCAGCAATCTCTTAAATTAGTTAAAATTCCGAAGGGCTGAGCATTAAATCATCTGAAGAAATGCGAAGAAAAGTTTGGTTTCGAGGGATATCATGGTTCATTTGGAGTAAAAGTGTTTGGTGAAGAGATTCGATGGTCGATCCCATCAGAAGACGACAGCGGATCCATTTTGACTAGCTGTCGATTGGCTCTACTAGAACATTCTTGTTGACGCTGTTTCCTATACAATATCGCTCGATTCACCGGAATCGAAGTAAATAGAATCTCTATGATATACTGGCAGTCTCAAAATCCTACTTATAAACCAAAATGAGTAGAATTTCAGCTGGCCACATTTCTTGGCTTAAACATTTTGGTGCATATCCTGGTAAATGACGATGTACGTTCTCGACGTATTTGTCGAGTTTGCAGGACAGTCAAGTCATATGCAACAAAACTTCGGATATAAATATATATAAATATTCATATACATATATGTATATATGAAATCATATATTTTTATTTATTCATCTACAGTTATATTATCAGTAATCGCTAGCCCGTGTGGAGTGTATCATCAGGAAAAGCTTAAACAGTCTTTTGAGAAGAAGCCCTACCCCACGGTATCCAGTTGCCATGTGTCTTGGCTGCTGCGCCTTGGTCACCTCTCGGTGTCCCAGAGCGTCTCTGTCTCGTTCGTAGGCACCATATGCCATGCCCGTATCCGACAGACTGCCGGAATCGCGAAGCCCACGTGCGAGATGCTGCATGGCCGGAGGAGCATAGCCCGAAGTGGTCCTGGGCCCGTAGACTGCGTGCCCAGGATAGGCATGTGCAGGGCCGCCCGGAGTCTCGGGTGGGTGTCCGGGCTGTGCTTGGTGCTGCTGGACGAACATTTGAGGCTGACGGTGGACCCGGCCTGTGTAACCCGGCTGTCCCAGAGGAGGGGCTCCCCCTCCTGACGGGGTGAAAGCACCGCCGATCTGCCTCAAGGGACCCCGGGAATTGACGGCGTGTACGTGAGCAGCTGAATAGTGATGATGGTGATGATGCGGTCGGACTGGAGGACTGACGGGGGAGCGAAGTAGCCGAGTTGACGGGGTTCTGATGGGGCTGAAGTGACGTGTGCCGGAATCACCATCTGATAAACATAAAGGAGGATAATAGACAGGATAAGAATGCAAGCAGACAAGTGGCAAGCTGATGGCAGATCAGATTATAAGAAGTATAGAAAATTTATGTAGTAACTGCCCTCAAAACAAAATCCCACAATCGATGGCCGGAAGATGCTAATAAAAAGAAGTGATCAAACTAGAAGGAGGTGTCCAAGGTTGCCGTGGTGACTGAGACAGCGATACTGTAAGTGAAATGTAGGTGCGTTTCTTAAATCTGTCGACCAAGCCTTATGTAAAGAAGCTATTATCGAGAACTCAGTACTAAATATTGTCCTACTTATGCATATCATAAAAGTATGTAAATATATGCGAAGAAAAGTTGGGTTTTGAGGAATCTCTTGTTTCATAATTGTTGAGCTTACTTCCATTTCGAGTGAAAGTGTTGCGTGAAGAGATTCAAAGGTCGACCCACCAGAAGATGACGGCGGATTCCTCTTGACCAGTTGTCGATTGGCTTTACTGGAAGATTCATGCTGATGCAGTTTTCGAGGCAATCTCCTTCGCTTCCGGTGAAAAAGTGCTAAGCCTTCGTTCGTCATATGACGGACATCATCAGAACGAGGTAACATCGTCACAACAAAATTCAAGCTACGAAGAGGAACTTGATCTCGACGAATCTCCTGAGGTAACATTATTATGGAGACCTTCATTTCGTATGGAAGTGCATGAAGAAGAGATTCGTTGGTCGATCTCACCAGATGAGGATGGATGAATCTCGTTGTATTGCAGCCGGTTGGATTTCATACGATATTCATGTTGACGCAGTCCACGGCACTTCCTGCCTCGTTTCGGGTGAAAATGTGCTGAGCTTTCGTCCATCATATGATGGGCATAATCAGAGCTGGGTGCCTAGTGTTAAGGAAAGCCTTTAAGAAGAATGATACCCAGCTCTGATGATGTCCATCATATGATGGACTAAAGCTCAGCACGTTTTCACCTGA